CCCGCGCCGGGGAGAGGCACCGGCCGAAGTCGCCCAGTGCTGCTGCGGCGGGGCCCGGTGCGGAGGCTCTCGGGGCCGTGGCCGACTCGCCTTGCCCGGTGGTGCCCCCGGGAGCCGCGGGCGCGGGGCAGTCAGAGGGGGGACGGGGCGGTGCTGCCGCTCGCGCCCGGCCCGGCTCCTGTCCCTGGCGGGGCCAGCGCCGCAGGCCTCTGCCCCGGCCGGTACCGGGGGCACCCCCGGGGCGGCCCTGCCCCGGCGAGCGGCTGCGGTGGGTTTAACCCTTTGATTGTTGCCAAGTCCCGCGTCAATGCGGGCGTTGAACGGCCTCAGGCGTTGGCGAGCGGCGTAAGTGTCTGCTGAGAGTCGGACGAGGGAGCTCTCGGGGCAAGAGGCTCCCTCACTCACCGCATTTCTCTGACACCGTCAAGGAAAAGAGTAGCCAGCTTCCTCACATCTCCCAAGAACTGGGAGAAACTCGCCTCAAGAAACATCTTAAATTGCAGGTCATCCTGTGGGAACAATGGGAGGGAGCCTATGAGGGCTTTTATTTACAGCATGTCAGAACACCAATAAGTAAAGCACGGTAAACACAGGTTTTGCCCAAGGAAGCATATATTTTTTTTTTTATCAATAAGATTTCTGCATAATCATAGAGTGGTTTGGGTTGGAAGGGATCTGCAAGACCATCCAGTCCCCTCCCTGCCCTGGGCAGGGACACCTCCCACCAGACCAGGCTGCTCCAACCCCCCTCCAACCTGGCCTTGAACCCCAAACGCTTCCCCCTCGTCCTATGGGTCCCCTCCCTGATCAAGAGTCCCTCCTCAGCTTTCCTGGAGCCCCTTTACGGACTGGAAGGGGCTCTAAGCTCTCCCTGGAACCTTTTCTTCTCCAGGCTGAATCCTCCCAACTCTCTCAGCAGAGAGTCCTCACAGCAGAGGGGCTCCAGCATCTCCGTGGCCTCCTCTGACCCTGCTCCAACAGCTCCGTGTCCTTCCTGTACTGAGAACTCTGAACTATATTGACAGAACCAACATTGTTTGTCCAAAGTCAGAAGATAATTGCTTATTTCAAGAAGGGTGACGTTGAGTGCAGCTCCATCAGCATTGGGATTTCATTGATACAGCAGTGTGGGACTCAAGGAAAGCAGCTGATGAGGAGGGTGCAGTGAAGGTCGGGAGAACCCTTTAAGCTCAGTTCCTACATCCTCCTTGGAGTCACCACAGAATTTGAGAGGCAGCCCTAAGGAGCAGACACCATATTGAGTCAGAGGAAACAGCAGGCAGTAGAGCAGCTCACAGCCAAGTGTTGCACGTCAGCCACCCACAAGACATGGGTTGCACTATGCTGTTTTACTTGGAAGGACTGAGAAATTCTCTGGCAGCAGATACACCTGCTTTGTGGCTGCTCTTGCCAGTGAAACAGCCAGAGAAGCTGTCCAGGATCCAAGAACAGGCCTTGAGATGGCAACTCTTGGCAACAGAACTTCAAATAGTTTGAGAGGCCTCTCCGCACTGTTTACATGTCATGCACAGCCAAAATAAAAAAGAGACAGGATATGTCAGAGCCCAGCACTTCAGAGGAGAGCATTCTGCCAAAAAAACAAAGGGAACAAAATCATAATCTGCAGAGGCATAACAGAAGACAGGAATGGATGGGCAACTGGTCTCAACAAAGGCTTTATGGTACTCCAGGTACAGGGAACTGTCTCACAGGAAGGTACGTGGCTGGGGGGGTCCTGTGGTGTTGCTGGGTTGCTGCCAGCTCTGGTTAATCCCCGATACCAGAAAGGCCTCATGCAGCCCTTATTACTAAGGGATGCTCACCAGGATTACTCAGCTTTGCAGCTGGAGCTGGATGTGTGGCTGTAAGAAGTCCACAACAGACACAAGGCACCCAGACACATGCCTGGCAATGAAAATTTTCCTATCTATATCCCAGGTCTCGCTCTGCAGAGAGGCAGGGTCTAATGGCCAGGTCGGTTGTCAATAGCTGCAGAAGCAAGAGCTGAGGGAGGCTCAGTTCTGAGCCAGTCAAACCCCTCACGTTACTTCTTCATTGACCCTGAACTGAAATACGCTCCTTCCTCAAGTCTTCTCAATAGCCAGAGCCTACCCAATTAAAAGTCTGTCAGAGCTGGAGCAGACTGGTACTGATCAATAATGTCAGGGCTGAGGCCTTCTTAAATGCAGGCAAGGAAAACTGGTACTTGCTGTTTTAACTCCAGTGCTCTCCAGCTACTCGAGGAGGAGAGCACAAGGTATAAAAGCAGATGGAAAATTGGTAAGAATTAAAGTCATAGGAATGAAGCAAGATTTCATAAGTAATTAATTTATATCTAGTATTTGTTACTACACTGCAGAATCACTACTTTAATCAAGACTCTGTTTTCCCTGCACCAATTCTTTAATAAAAGGGAGAGGTTTGTTGAGCACAAGGCAAAGTGCTTCCAGTTCCAGATGGGAGACAGCTCACAAAACTCCTTGGGTAAAATGAGAGCACATGGACGATGTGCTCCAGACCCTACAGGAAAGCTCCCACATTCAAATATGCCTATATAGTCATGACTTTTTATACCCGGTAGTGCTGCGGAAAGAGTTGCTTTGAAAAAGCAATTCCCCCTGTCCAGTCTAAATAGCACACCAAAGGCAGTGATATTAGCAATTTTCAGAAGACCAGTTCCACAGATTGTAAAAACCCAAGCGTTAAGAAATTAATGAATGGAAACTTAAAGGAATAGTATGAAATTGTAGCAGCTGTAGATTTTTATGCTGTTACTTTAGGGCAAGTGGGAGCTTTTTTGTCAAGTTTTGACATGGGGAGGGAAGGAAGCTGAAAAAGGAGGACAATGTCTTCATTTTCAAAATGCTAGAATACGGGTCATGCTTGCCAAGCTTTCCACTCTCAAAAATCAGGACAGGACAGTGACAAAACACCACATTAAGAGGGAAAGGAGGAAGAAGCAAGCAACCTAAATGTACAATTTTTACTTAGATTGATGTGAATGCCCAGGAAAGCCTAAGTTAATCAGCATCTACTGATTAAAAACAAAAGCTAAAACCTGCCATGACTACATACTGGTTTGCTCACACTATAATCTTTCTGATTAGATATTTCATTCTTTCAGTATAGAATAGCTCAGGTTTTGTCCTCTCTGGCCTCCCCATCCTAACCCACTGTTAAAGAATAACCTGGACTCTCCAATCTTCAATATTACTGACACTCGCTCTGCTTTATTGAGCCCTTTCTGATTTTTCCACTGAAAAAAAAGGAAGATGGTGATAAAATTGCAGGGTCTCTCCATTTTGGTGGGTAAGCACAGGGCATCTATTCTTTCCACATGGAAAAGTCTATCAGTTTCCCAATGTGATTTTTTATAAAGGAAGCCTGTTTTTTCAAAAATACCGTTATAGCGGCTTAAAGCGTTGCTAGGAAGCCTTCCTCCCAGAGCTGGATTGCTGGTCCGTGGCAGAGCAGAATGGTAGGAAAGATCAGCAGGAGGAAGGACTATGATAAATGCAAGAAGATTTGCTGATGAATATCAGTTTGATCTTAAACCCATCTTTTTTTACTAAATGAGGGACTGGGTATTTGATAAAACAAAAAAAACCACGAACAACAACTGGATACATTCAGGAGAACAAAAATTAAACGCTAAAGGAGTAATCAGACAGCACAGCTTGCTGGGTGCTTTAGGCTATTTTTAGTTGTCTGTTTCCCTACTGAAATGCCAAGGGGAGAGAGTGTGATACCAGGATTTTTTGAAGCATCTATGAAGCATTCCCATTCTGCAGCAGCAGCAGCAGCTCTTTGCACAGACAGGCCCAACCTCCATTTCCACTGGCTTTCTCAGGTACAGCCTGATGTCAGCAGCTTGTCCCACTGCTGGAGCCACACTGTGAGGTGGCCGAGCTCCGCCGCGGGATCACAGCCCATTGCTCCCTGCCGGGCCTGCCGACAGGGAAACCCGCACTGCGAGGCAAGTGAGGAATCAGGGAGGGAAAGGCAGCTGAAGCTGTAGCTACCCGATTTGGCAGGATGGAGACTTTCACATCATCCTGCCATGCCACCCACACCACTTGGACTGAAGTTAGACCTGTCCCCAATGGATACGAGACCGTTGCAGCTGAGAAACTCAGCATGGCACAGCGAGGCTGGTATTGAACTGTCACTGTCAGGTACCAACAGCCATAGCTGTGGTATCATGCAGCTTATCTGAAGCTGCAAAGTGTCTGCAGGAGGCAAGGGAGTGACTGCTGTAGGTATATTGCAATCAATAACCAAGTGAGACTGTCAGCTATAAACAGCCATTACTCTTTGAAAACAGCACACATGTTTCTTTATACTATGTTTAGAGAGTTAACAGTTTGGAAAATCCCATCATAGAGGAACAGGAAATGCACAATGCTCCTAAGAAAGCATTTTTACCCCAGGACTTGCACCTTGGTTTCTGCTGGTACACAAGTTATTCAGAACCAACGCAAAAAAAGATGTAAGGGGGAGGGAAGGGAAGCCCCCCAACTCATATTTTTCTACCCATCAACCCAGAAAAGCCCGGACTGAGTCAAGGGACTGACTCGGCAGCTGCTGTGCATGCGCTAGGCGATTCCACGCACAGCCCTTCATTTCCCTGAGCTGTAAAGAGAGGCAGGTGGTGCATTTCCTCGCCTGTGATACAATCCTAGATCTATTAATATTTCCAGTAATGGTTTCTCTTGAAGCAAGCCAGACTCACCTACTATAATTCCCAAACTGCCAGCTTCTCCTCTCTTTAGCAGGTACCTGAGCTTCACTTAATTTGTTGAGGTAACAGCCTCCTCAGGCGTTCACAGCCTCCCATCAACAGACAATTGTCATTGTCCTGCTCTACACAGAGTGAGACTGCACACTAGGCACTGGCTGTTTCAGTACCCACTTTGTCTCTAGTAAGAGGAGTAAAAATAAAAAAGTCTCTGCCCGTAGGCAAAGTCACAGAATGCTGTGCAAAGGAGAAGGAAAAATCTCAACACTAATTAGAAACTTCCCTAGAAGTCACAGACTGGGGGGATTGGACAAAGCTGACACCCGAGTGGCAGAACTCTGGCTAAGGATGCTCTACTTTGTAAAGTAGTTTGTCCCAAGAGTCTATTTAAACAGATTAATGCAATAATCCAGCTGAGTCACTGTGCTTTCACTGCATCTCAACTTCCTCTGAAGATACTACCAGCAAGAGCTCTAGTGCCAGCAGTGACAGGATTTAGTTACTTCAATGTGGTAGGAAGGTGTGCATTGAAGCAGTGATATGCGCCCTTCAACCCTGCTGAGATGGATCGAATCCAGTTAGGTTACTGTCTCAGCAAAAGCCACCACAGTGCTATTAAGAAGATTAAAAAAAAAAAGATTTCTATTGTTAGAGTGTTTCCAAATAAAGCAAAAAGATACTGACCTTGGACATATGAACCTATCCACTTTCCTAAATATCTATCAAAATGGAAAAGCCAAAACATTTATTACCCAAATCAAAAAACACTGACACAATGCATTGGAAAGACAATGCTACTTGGTGCTCTGGAGACCGGCAATTGCTCCGTGGGCACCTGGGAGACTTCAGCAAGTTTTGCTCCACACGTGTGTGCGGAGCTTTGTTCAGCTCACACAATTTCAGTTCAACAGATGGATCTTCCCCTGGCTCAGCTTTGCTGAGAGCTGCTGCCTGGAGCCGCAGATGGGGCTGGTGCCGCTGGGCTGCTCGGTTCCAGAATCAGGGTCCACACAGGCTGGGGCGACGCCATGGGAATAGTGGGAAGAGCAGGTTGGTCATCGCGAGTGGAGATGCCCTGTGAGGCCGCTGTGCACGACCTCCCATCACCCCACTGCTATTAATAACCTCTCATTAGAGAAGTCTTCATCCTGATGCTCAATGTCACTCTACACCCCCCGCCTCAGACTAGTAACTTACCTACAGAACATTTTCTCTTGGTGGCACCCATGGTCCTCATTTACCAGTACCAAGTAAGGGAAGGCTGTGGAGCCACCTGTGTAGTGCACGGGGAGAAATACTGTCCAGTGTAGAGAAACCATGCTTCCCAGGCTGCCATTTTCATATTCCTTCCTGGCCTTTCAAGCTCAGCTACTCCAGGTCACAGCCTTTCCCTTTCTCTGACAAAGGGGATTTTGCTAATTTTTTGACACTGAGTCTTCATCCTGGAGCCCCAGCACCTGTTGAACTTTCAAAGAACATTACTGGACTGCAGCTATTTTTTCACCTGCTCCCTTGCCACAAACCAATTCATCCTACCTTTCAGCACAAGCCAGGCACACTAATCAGACATTTATGGTTTTCAGATGTTTTGGGGAAGATTCCACCTGGCAGCAAAGTTATAGTGGAGAGAGATTTGCCTCTTCTACTTGTTCTGCTTCTGCATAACTCGCTGCCTGAAGGGTCGTTGTCACATTGCCCCAGGACTAAACATACACAAGGCAAAATAAATCCTTTACCTCTTTCCCACAGCACTGACACAGTCTGGGACCAGGGGTCAGGCCTCTGCTGGTCTTGGCGATGCTGGACCCTTCTGAGAAGGGCCCACACGGCGCAACGTGTCATGGATTCCCACCCCAGCCCGGGGAGCTCTGTGCCTGCAGGCAAAGTCCAGGCCTTTCAGAAAGAGAAAAAATGTGCTGGTTGCTGAAGTCTCTTTGACGGGCGGTGTTCTCTGGGCAGCCTTCATCTTCTACAGCTGGTTCTGCTTTGAGCAGATTTCAGGAGGCTGGAAGAGTCCGCTTAAGGAGATGTCTGTGTGGAATAGCCAGCTTGATCTCCCTTGAGCCCCTCAGTTTGGGTCCATTTGAACAATGCTATTTATGTTTCAGTAATACCGAGGACTTTTTGTTCCATGCCAGCTCAAAAAGGGACAGAAACTGCTAAAGTGAGTTAAAAAAAGGAATGAGTAAGAAGAAAGAAAGAGAGTCAGGATGTGCATTTTTGAGGTTTATTAATAACTGACACCAATGGTGCCCCCTCCTGCTGATATAATAATCGTTAAGCATGTGCTCCTGAGGTGGTCAGAAATCCACACTGGAAGTCTTGACAACAGAAGCAACCACTCTGATCTTTCTTTCCCTTTAAAGAAGATTACTTGTTCTCTATCTCCTTCCTGCTCACCCAGTTCTGTTTGGCTGGTTTTAACTCAGCCCAAGCGCTCAGACTGGGCGCAGCAGCAGGAGAAGAAAGCCAGAGGGTGGGGGGAAGGCAGCAGCAGCCTTACTTTTAATTTAGTTGGTGCCACGTAGTTTCATATTCAGAATGAACTTCTTTACCCAAGAATTCCCAGACATTATAGAGAGTGTAATCTTTCCTTTAGAATTTCAGCCACATTTACAAGCCTCAGAGAGGAATGAAATTTCCAGTGAAAACTCCTTGACCGCGAACGAGCTTTCACTCAGTTGTCAGCACTGGTGTGACCCACAGAACTGCCAATACAAAGACCAGGTTCTCTGCAGGTTGCCCCAAACTGGAGACCAAATCCTGACAATTGCTGAGCACTAAACTCCAACTGAAATTGCAGGAGCTTGTCCCTGCCGAGACTTCACTGGAACAGCTACAGACCGACTCTCCAGACAGGAACCTTCATCACGTTGCTATTCTCATGTTTGACTCAGAGAAGAAAAAGATAAAAAAATAAATCAGTGCAATAAATAAATAAGACTCAGATTCCCAAGAGAGGTTATAGCCTGCGGAAATTTGGGATTGCTTAATTTCTATCAGGCAGATGCAAGTAAGATGTCTCAAGCTTTTGTTCTACTCATTAGAAGGCTGAGCAAAACTTCCCTGAAGACAAAGAATTGCAATTGAATTTCAAAAAATCAGCATTTTCTGCCCATGACTTCATCAACACAGATTGTTCTCTTGCTCTGCAGTTTGATCAGGATAACTTCACTGACTGCCATTTGCTCTGAGACAAGAGCATCACAGAGTAAGAACTCAAGCTGCTGTAACTGTGTGATAACTGATTAGCACTGCTTTCATGTCAATGAGGAAGTAAACTTCAGAGGCATCTTGAATAGCTTGAGGTACATCTTTTCTATCAATTTAAATCAAGATCTAGTTAACAACAATACGAAAAAGAAATCAGCCCAAGAGTTAGCACGTATTTCTAGAAACACCCAGTTTTCCCTTCAGCTGTCAGCATGCGGGACAGACTAATGAGACCTTGGTTTTCCTTGTCAAGCTCACTGCAATTTCCAACCCCCTCCCTTGTTCATTGCACCTCCTCTATTTTAAAATAATCTGCCCACACAAATAAACATTCTATGATACTCCATCAGGTGTAACAGCTAAGACAACGTGTGCCCTGAGAGCAAAGGGAACAGAACACAAGATTCCAGCCCATTCTGAGTACCCCGAGGGAATTACCGTACCCAGTAGCGGTGCCCGGCAGTCCACAGAGGAGCAGGATATGCAGAAAGCTGGAGTAATGCAGAGACAAAGCACGCCAGAGAGAAGAAAGGAGTTCAATTATGCTCTTGCACTGACATTAATGGAAACTGAATTAGGTCCAGCATTAGTAGATAAAAGTAGCTCTCCACAGTGGTGATAGAGCAAACACCGTTGCCATAACTACCTCACTCCCAGCAGCATGCCGATTTAATTTCTACAGTTAAATATTTACAGAGTGGACTGCATGTTTTCAGGAGTTGCAGAAGCTGCTGGTAGAATGCACAGTCCTGTTTTCGGGATCCCCACATTCACCCCCGGCTCCATCGCTCCCTGCACAGCAGTCGTCTGCTGGGGGGAGCACGACTGCGCCGGGGGCAGAGAGACCCCCAGGGGTGGCTGGAGTGACAGCCCCAGCGGACACGGTCCCACAGCTCCTCAGCAGGGCCGGATGGCGATGGATACCAGTCCCACCAACAGCCTGGGCATCCCTGCAAAGGCAAGGAGCTGCCCCCAGGGGAAATGAGTGTGACCAAGTGGGGGGACATGGCTGTTCCCGCGGCACTGCTCCAGCGAGGGAGCCCTGAAATTAGGAAATTTTTCAGGGTAGAAACCTCACAACTGTCCAACTGGTGTGTATAAATAATACATTACAGAATCTTTTGGTTTCAGTCCATTCTAAGGAACTTTAGAGAGTGAAGTCAAGACCTGAAGCCTTCACTCTTCTCATGTTTCTGCTCCAAGAAGGCACCTAAATCCCACAAAATTCTCACCCAGAATAAAAGTCCACTTTGGCAACTGCTGACGGCTTGGTGGGGTTCAATGGAGGAGGTGTATTTACCTTGGCAGATGACCACATTAATTCGAGGCAGGCGGTGTCTGGCTCTTGTGACGCTGCCGGGTGATCCCCTGGTGTCAGTGCCGACAATTCCAAAGGGGCTCCCATGGAAATTATCTTACATTAAAACTACGTTGAGTCCTAAGAAACAAGTGTCGTTTATTACGAAATAAAATGTCTTGAATATTTTCAGAAGCATATATACACATACATAGAGACAATATGGCTTTAATCTTTTGGATTTAAAAATAGGCTTATCTCTATAATGTTAGAAATAAAAGATTGTGCTTTAAATTACAGAAATAACACATCAGCAGTACCATTTACATCATTGCAGTTGATGTAAATGACAGACAAGCAAAACAGTAAACCAGGCTTCAGTACAAACAAAATTATTTTTAAAATGTGTGTTCTAATTAGAGGAACTATAAGTAATTTTAGGTGGTTAAAAATTATGCTGTTATAGGTTGAACACTACTGGAGAAATGAAATTTATCAAAGAAAATAGATTGTCATATTGGGTTTTGGGTTACCTCAAGGGTTAAATTCGCATTTCCCCAATCATTGTTCATTGCTTCCTGCAGACATAACCCAAACCAGTACATTGATCACTTGAAACAGACAAGTTAATTCAATATTGCAAAAACACCAATTGTTCATTCATTTTCTTATTCTTAATGTCAATGGGATTCTTAAGACTACAGAATGTGGGGTTGGATCACTAAACGCTGATAAAATTATAGTATTTTAGACTAGCTTAAGAAAAAGGGAGAAAATCACCGTCATGTGCTTCTATTGAAAGATCTCATTTGTCTGTGCATAACGCACTGGTGACATTGGGAAGTCAGCAGAAGAGGTGGGACGTTCAGAAGATGATTGCAAGAGCCCAGGCTGTAGGAACAGCCAGTGCCGCGCCGTGAGAATCCTCCCTTTGGACAGGCCCAACAGAACCCATCCCAGGAAAGGTGCTGAGCAGTGGGGTCAGGCAACATCCTTTCACCTGACACCAAATCAACCAGCTTCTGCTCTGGAGTGCTCCACCTCGGAGCAATACAAGTAACAATTCATTCTTCCGACACAAGTGTCAGATACATTCACTTTACTGAGAAGAATAAACAAAAACCCATTGCTGCCTTATGAGGTAAGTCAGTCAGAGTCTCCTCATTTTAAAGCAGAAAACTGAGGCGCAGGAGAGGTAAGTCTGTGACACTGCTTGAGCCCAGTCCTTCTCCCAAGACTATTCTAGTGAGAAGATCACACATAAAAATGAAGTAATACATGTATACAAATGGATTGGTATTCCTGTCAAATTATGTAAACTTTACCTATAACAGTTTGCTTCATTCTATTGAAACACTGGCTAAAAGTTAAGTTCTGAGAAATGCAGTATAATAAAGACTGGAAAGAGAAACATTATGATGATTGTTTTAAAAGGTAAGATGAATCCTTGATGGGCTGAATTCATTTGCTGAACAGAATCTCACGGACTTATAAAAAACCATGAAAAATTAGATCATCTGATAAGACTGTTAGACTGAGGCTGATGTTGTGTTTAATAATGGGGCAGATTTGAAAGCATTTACTGCGCTGGCTGCAGAAACTCTGATGTGAACACGGCTTCTGCATAGTCCTCGCAAACATCCTGCAGCTCAGCTGCCACGGCACACAGGGCTTCTTCTGCCAGCTGCTCTGCCAGGCTGAAATAAAGAAAAGGTTCAGAAAATCAGACTTCAAATTCCAGGCATTAATTCCATTGATATCAATACTCTGATTTTAAAGGCAAATACTCATGTTTTGTCATTCTTTCTACTGCTTAGCCCAAGCAAAGATCTGATTTGTGTTCTGATGTGTGATGTATAAGGTATCAGAAATCCTCTCCTCAGTCTGGTTCATAGCAAAGAGCATACTTCAGGCTTAAAAGTGTTGAGAGATCTGAGTTGCTTCCTTTTTTCAAACTCTTAGATACAGACTGTGCTCTGGGAGTAAGAGTTAACACACTGTGATTCTCATCCAAAGGCTGTTGAAGTAGACAGGAAGCTTCTTATTGCTTTTAGCCTTACCAAGAGCAGTAGGTTAAGGAAAAGTGAGATGAGAAATTTCAGTTTTCAGTGATCTCTGAAGCACAGCAGATGTTACTGAAAACTATTTTAGTGTAAGAACACAATTTGTTTACTGGCCTCTTGAAAACTTCTCATCAGTTTTGATTATATTCTAAAATATCATAAAATTAGTCTAAGACCTTTTGAGCATAGCATGGGAATGTTTCTTTTAAACATTGTGTGATACTATTTTATATCAAAGGATTTATAATGCCCTCTGCTGGTAAGAGCGAGTCAAGGAAGCATGCTGGATATCGGACTGCGTTTGGAATTTGATTTCAAGTGCCAGCAGCAGTGGAATTCAGCTGTCAGAAGGATTCACTCCCATTTAATCCCTCTGCCTGTCCCAAGAAAGTGCCAGTCCTTCACCTACTGGCTTCACACAACTGTAAAAAGGATCACAGTTCAGTGCTGAGAACCAACAAAGCATATTTCAGTGATTTAGTTCAGTAGATAGAAATACAGTGGTCTAACCACAGTTATTAAAACATCTGCCTGCTTATCCACAGCTGGGCAAAGCATCAACACACGGGGTTATTTGTGTGCACAGAGTTAATCTCAAATATTGCAGGACCTGCTCCTGGAAGCACTGACACAGATGCCAAATATTACTCAAATGAGCTGTATTGCTGATTTCAATGCTACTACATTAAAAATGTGTGCAGAAGTTTAAAAACTCTTGGCAATTACACCTGATTAACAATCTGCCAATACAGACAATTAGGGCAAATCACTCCATCTACAACCACTGAAGTTAGATTTTGTAATTCTTTCACAATACTCCAGAGTTTTCTTCCTTCATTTCTCCCCATCAGAAGTCTTCTGATTTTCATTGTGCAGGGAATTAATGGTCCCTCCCTGTCAACTGATGCTGTGTCAGTATTTCTTCAGTTCTAAAAGAACAAGACTAACAAGGTTCAAGTTCAGCCTGTATTTCCATGCTTTTTTTGGGCTGGGACTTTACAAGACCAATAGGTGATTTCTGAAATACATTATACATACTGAAAATGATTTCTAGGCAATTGTAGGCAATCACTCACAAAAAGTGCAAGGAAAGGATACACAGTGATATAATTTAGTTGTTACTGAGCAATCAAAACACTTCAGTGCAAGAGTGGGTATTTCAGCTTACCTCGCCTCGCTTGCTTAGCGGACACTGAGCACGATAAACAATTTTTCTTGGCCAAGAAGTGAAGCACAGACAGTTAGTTATTGCTTCTTCACCTCTTCTGTTTGCACTAAGGGATGGTGAGGGAGGTCACCTGTGTCTCACTTCCCCCACAGGACTCCACGAAGCATGAAGACTTGTGGAAGAGGAAGCACTGAAATCTGTGCTAAGGCCAGTGGTCTCTTCTCAAGAATATCTACTGTTGTTCCATGAAAGATGAACTTCATAATCCCTCACCACAAAGATTAAAATTTGCACAATTATTTACAGTGCTTTATTTCTTTTTCACTTAGAAATAAGTTAATTTTTTTTTCCTTCAATTTACCTATTGATGATGGTCTTCTGAAAATAATTTAAATTACCCTATATTTCACACAGTTGTTTTTGTGGTAACACCATAGAAAGATGTGAAAAATAATCAGTCCCCCAGGACATTCCACTCCCATATCCTTCTGTTTTATCCAACTACCTTAAAAATCCACAAACACCAAGTACCAGTAGAGAAACAGCCAACTGCTTCTGGCTTTCAATTTGGAATTTAAACACCCCCCTCCCCACTCCTTTCCTCAACAAGGACAAAAAACCCATTCATCAGCTTCAAAAACACAAAGATAGTTAATATACCTCTCAGCAATCTGCCATGGATCGAAACTGCCTACGGCCTCATGGGAAATAAGCTTTAAGTGATGCCCGTATCTGCTGTTATAATCCAAGATGCTCTGGAGCATATACTTTGGCACCGAGAGAGACACACAGCACTCTTTGTGTAGAGAATTCCAAGTCAGCGGCTGCAGAATGTCATTTCCAGTCTGCAACTTCTCCTCTGCTTCTTTGTTTTCATCAATATCTCTGGAAATATAAAATAGTCATTAAGCCAGAACGAGATTTTCAATTATCTTTATGAAGGATAAGAAAATCTCTTAAAATAGTAACTGTAATTTTCTGTAATGAAAACACTATAAAGAAGACACACAGCTCATATGCACCACAGTTTAGCGTAGGGCTAAATATTCTACGTACTTGCCATCAGAAAGTTTTTCAAATAAAATTTCCATTTCTGACTCTGTGCATCCGTTGAATTTGGTTATCTGAATTGGATGAGGAGATGTAGGTTTTTTAGCTATCAATGCCATTTGTTGTTCTAAAAGAAAGAAAATAACAATTAAATTTTTTTCTTCAGAAGAGAAAAAACACATTTACTGCAGGTAAGTCCTCACAAATACTTTTGCTTCGTTTAAGGGGAAGTGATTCAGATAAGTACTGAATGTGACAAGCCCCTAAAATGTAAATTCAATATAGGATTTCCAAGAGCTCAGTGTAATAAAACTGAGCATTTTAGAAATCCTACCTTTAGTATTAATAGTTTGTTATGTCAGTAGGTACTTCTAGAGGAGAGATAGAAAATCCCATTGTGAAACTAGTGTAGTCTATTAAGCTTGGTAGTAAATCCAAGACAGGCGAAAAAAAAAAGTCCAACAAGATTTTGGCTAAGTCTTCACCAGTCTTACTGTGAGATTTTCAAACTGGTATAAAACTACACAGTTCCATGAAAGTCAACATGTGATTAGATACTCAGCTTAGAAAATAGTGTAGCTTCGCTCTTGTACTGTTTGTCATATTTGAAGGACTGTACATTCTTTCTTTTATTTTCTATACAATAAAAACAAGCAGGAAAATTTCATTGATGTGAACTGGAAGCATCCAAACTGTGTTTTTTTCAAAGATTAAGTACTTTTTGCTGAAGCATATTGGATAATGAGTTCTGTACAGAAAAATCCAGATTTTCTGAGGCTATAAAAATTAAACTTGCATGTATGCTGCAAGATCTAAAACCAGTATCAAGGTCACTTGAAAGGAATAAGAGAAAAATTACTTCTAAACTGAAGTAATTTAGTATCATCTTCTGTGTACTGCCAGAAAAACCTTAAATACTAAGGATTCACTGCTACACCAGTATTTACTTAACATTTACTCTTGAATTCTAAACTGTTTAAACTGATAGTTTATTAAAACAAAGGAAAGAAAATGGGTGAAGCAAACTAGAAGATAAATATCTGCTTGCTCCTGCCTAACAGCAGGAACAAACTGAGATTGTTCCCCTACACCTCACCTCAGCCTGTCAGCTCCTAAAAACAGTTTTGAATTCAGCAGCATGGAAATGATTACTGCTAAGTGGTTACTGGTATTTCAAAGGAATCAAGTCAAATGAGACCACACTGAGATTTACGGATTTGCCAGTGCCTTCCTCAAAACTGAAGACAGGCAAGTCATGAAGAGGTGAACAAGGAAAGGAGTGAAGCAGCTTTAGGACACCTCAGGCTCAGGCAGGAAATCAGTCGCCTGCTGGGGTACATTCTGCTCATGGATGAGTGGGAGTGTATGGACTTAGCGAACACCACCTTCGCTGCATAAAAACTATTGCACACAGCTTGGTAGAAAAGAAACCAGCTAAGCTAAGGAATGACAAACGCCTAGAAAAGGGACAACATTCAAACTTAACATTTGATGATTGGAACCATGTGTTAGAGATTCCCACCCTTCAGCTAAGTTGCACCAGCAGTGCTTTCCATCCAAACGCAACCCAGATAAAGCAAAGTAGAATATGACAGCCTGTTCTCAGAACAGATCCTTCCTCTTTACAATATTGCTTTTAGAACTATATTTCAGAATCAGTCTCCTGAAAGGAGCAATTATAGTAAAAAATGTGTCTGGATGGTGCTATTTGATCACACATAATCCAATGATCTTGATTTCAAAACATCTGAATTTAAAGATACAGATTACAGGAAAATCAAGTTGCACTACAAAGACACGTACCCGTTTTGTCTTCCTGGGCCCAGCACTCGGCATCACTGTACACGATCTGGGTGAATCTCCTGCGAACAGCCTCCTGGTGTCTCTGGGTTTGAAGATACAACATTAATCAATCGACACATACTTGGCAGTTCAGCTGCTCTGGTTATAGGAAAGAGGGTCGTGATCCTCCTCGGTCAAAGAAGGCTTGTTTTGCCTCGTTAACGTAACACAGAAAGTTATCATAAATTTCACTGACAGGAAGGTTGAAATGGGACTTGAACTGAAAACTATGGAAAAGCTGGTCAAGAGGAAATTTTTAAGAAAGCAATATATGAGAAAGCTCAAGTCAAGTAAATGATAATCTCGTGAATATTTACATAGAAAGATTGACAAATAAGGTCACAGATAACCATGTATCTGTCTGACTTCCCCATGTTGCCCTATAAAATATCTTGGAATGCCAGAGCTTATGTCCTTGAGATGCTCGTGCTACTAGAATACTAGGATCCCGTATCACAAAAAAATGAAAATAAATACATCCGAAAAATATTCAAATACTTTCCAGTTTGTGAGACAATCAGCATAATTGCCATACTGATTATCCTGTTCACGTATGAAGATCTAAGCACAGTCCTGAGGCGGGAAGCATACTCAGCTCCACCAACTCTAAAACCAGTAATAAAACCACGATGGCAAACATTCTCCTGTTCTTATACTGTGTTCTGTTGCTGTGTGAGCCCCTTCCAGTCTTTCATTTCATACACTGATCCAGTCAGACTTTGCGTCATTTAAGACTGTAAGTACTTACAGATATTACAATTTATGGACAGTAAACAAGAAACTGGCACTAATGAGACCAACCAAGAGAGAAAATCTTACTTCAATTTCTTCCATTCTTTGCCACATCGATTCCAGAGTGTGAGTGTCAGCTGCAGGCAGAGCCTGGGTTTGCAGTCTCTCACGCTGCTCCATACCCCACAGCTCCTGAGCAGCATCTTCCAACAGATCATCCAATACATTTTCACTCAGAGTATCTGCATTTGCTGCAACCTGCTATTAAAAAACAAACAAAAACCCATACAGCCAATGCAAGAAAGAAATAAAAAAAACCCCACAAAACCAAAAATAACTGGAGGAGAAAGAATGCTTGCAAATCAAACATTTCTTACAGCAGCTCATGGAACTAATCTATTGTCATTTCAACTTTTCCCTTCAATGAAATTCCAAATAAATTCCCGTTTTCCTTCCACCCACACAATAAACCAAATCAATAGAAACAGCTTACTATGTTTTTTATACCAATAAAATCAATGAATATGGAAAAAGCTTGCTACACATCTATGTTCCCAAATTGAAGATGAAACTGTCACAGGTTCAGAGATCACCCAGGAATCCAAGAAAGTGGAAATGGAAATACACTCTCCAAATGTCCAAAACTGTGTTGACTACATAAACATGACTTGCATTAAGTTAAAAAGAAACTGTGTGTTGCTCCTTTATAAATGTTTTACAGCTCTAAAAGCTTCCTTCACAGAGTGGTGTGAGGTTGACTCTACTACCTGCGTCCTGTCTGCGGGAGGTTCTGAGCACTCCTGTCCTGCCGTCTCGACTCCAGTTGCACGCAAGGTGGGAGAAGCACTTCGTGACCTACACAAAAGAGAACAAATGACAACACCATTCTGAAACTTGGTACAACAACAATAATTTAAAAACCGAAACGCATAAATGTACTTTTTGGGGGACTGGTGGGAACAGGGAGAAGATCGCATCAGATCTGACACCATTTATTAGCTTTCAAAGTAAGTCATTACCTTAACTTTTGCATTTTTTTCATTTCTTCTCTGCTGCAGTCAGTTAGATCCTTCACACCTCTTGAAGTTTCAGCTTCAAGCCCTGCTAGTCTTCAAAAATAAAACAGTAACAAGGAGGGTTACAAAATGCACGCTCTAACAACTGAAGAATGGAATCATGCGATTCTGAGTATTAGTTTAAAAAACTTGCAAAAAACTTTAGAGAGAAAATTAATACTGACTTTAAGACCACATAAGCCAGGAACTTCTGTTGGGAACCAGGGATCTTCAATTATGTTTCAGCTACTGGCAAACAGGCCAATTCCCGGCTCTCTCCGAGAGCCGCCCGGCAGCAAGCCACGCTGGGCCAAACCCACCCTTCACCACCATCAGACGTGGGGCAGAGACAGACCCCAGGCTCTGAACGTACCTCTGGGGTGGAGCAGGCAGAGATGCCGGGGCCGGGGACACGTGGGGCTTTCTGCTCTCCTGAAGTCGTTTGTTCTGTTTCAGCTGGAAAGCTATAGTTGTCTCTTGAAATCGGGCACGCTTTCCTTGAGGCTGTACCTGTCTTGATTTTAGAGATTTCAGTATTCCCTTAAAATTAACACAATCATATTAAAAACATATATTCCAGTTGCTGTATTTTTGAAGTATTCTGCTTCAAAATTTGCTTCAGAATTTCTGCTTCAGAATTTGTCTTGAAGGTATGCCTGCCTGCTTTGTGGCACAGCTGACCTACGTGGAGGTTTTACAACTGATTTAAAAGGAACTACAACTGTGCCTGAAGGGAACATATGCTTAATCCCGCAACTATTATTTTTGCAAACAGTTGCAATTTTTCCAAGGTTGCTCTTTTGAAATTTTCAGAACTAGACTCTATGTTAACTCTTAATAAATACAAACAGAAGGTTCCCGAAGTAACATTTTATTCAGCCATGGAATTATAATATCGCCATATTTGTATCTGCTACAAGAACACTTAGCCTTGTTCCCTCAGTATGAATTATGGCAATGCTGAACCTCACTGAGAGGTAGGGGAAGCAGTGAAAGCTACATATGTGAACATCTATGTTACTGTATCGGTTCTGATTTTTCAAGCTGAAGGTGATACTCTGAGGAAGGAAAAAAAAAAAAGCATTCACTAAAAAACCCCAACTATTTGCAAAATTTAGCACTTTGAAATATTCTTTAAAGAACTCATTTGTTTGCATTACAGAAGCTTCTTGCTGGCTGCAATAAAGCCTTACCAGAAAACAGAATTTGTGTTGTGACATTTTATAACTTCTGTAATCAGTGAAGTAAATCTGCCTAACTTATATCCTCCAACTAACATTAGCATTAGCACAACATTACTGCTGAGTGCATTTTTCATGACAGAGGAGGACCAATAAGAGGAAAATATTTCAGCTTTAATTTCAAGTTGACAAATAACCAACGCAATTTCAAGCATGAAACTAGTTTTGGTGGAAGCTTTCCATCCTAATTCTGTTATTTGTTGTTTCTAGTTGAACAATGTGTTTCCAAGGAACAATAATACTACTTTCAAAAACCATTTGATAAAAAATAGTCATAGCCACTAGAAAAAATGTAGGCAGGTGACATAGTTCATCTCACTATGTCTCCTAGCTTAGAATAAAAACATTGCGAGGAAGTGCAAAGCTTGGCAGTGTCTTACATTACACAACAAATCCCAGAGGCAAGCAGAAGAAAGAATAAATTCTCTTATCACTTCCATACCTGTGATTTTGCAGGTAGTAACATGCCTTTCTTCTTAAAAGGGCTGCTTTCAGGGATGCGATCTTTTCTTACAGCTCCAGCTCTTGCCAGTGCATCCATGCTTCCTTGTAAAGCAACGTTTCTCTCTGGAGTAGGTGGGTCATCTTCTTCTTGGAATTTATTGTGCAATATATGAGCACAACTGTTTGCCTGCTGAACTGCTGAAATATTTGCAACACATCAATATTTATCTGTATCAAAAATAATAAATCAACTTTCAACTGTAAGTTGAAAGGGGCAAGAATCATCTTTATTTCTACATTTGATACTGTTATGCTAGATATACCTCATGAACTTTTAAGCTCTATCATACTTAAAAAAAAAATAATCAAATAAGGCAAGAAAAAAACCAACTTGTCTTTCCTGACAAGTATTAAATAAATTTTCTTTCTTACACCATTTTAATGAAGAGGAGATCTGGGGGTTTGTGTGCATATACACATTTATATGTATATACATATTTGAAAATACACCTATATATGAAAATCACGCAAAAACCTTTTGGCAATTGCTATATGAAGTTTAGGTAGCGACAACAAAACATTCTTTTTCAGGCAGCAAAACACGTGGAAGCCTTTAGGTGCTTGTCAATATACTGTCTTTCTGGACTGCCAAAGATGAATTAATCTCACAGAATTCTCCTCACCCTTATGTAGGGGTAGAAAGGAATACTTACTATTCTAGTAAAAAAATGGTATGGGAAAGACGCACCAATGAAAAAACCCAATCACTATAGGTTACATAATAATGTAATAAGCTATAATGGCATTCATGAGGTGCCAAAACACTTCAGGTGGTAAATTTATCTCATGACACCTTGAGAAAGAAAACAGCCCATTTCCTTTCATATACAAAATAAAAGAACAATAAAGTAAACCAATTCCCAATGGTTGCATGGGGAACTAGTAGTGAAAAATACCAAAGTCTTCAGCTTAACTCTCAGTTAACATGTCTCCAGGTACTGAAACTGATATTGCTGTGCAGAAGACACTAACGTTAACAAACTGGGAAGAATAAAACACAGCCATCCCTCTTAAAAGTAGAGAAACTGCACAAACTAAGGAAATTCTGAGCCAAGGCTTCAGTATATCTTTTCACTGTAAACAGTTAAACAACAATAGCTTTGTTGGAGTTTTGCTAACAGTCAGTGACTTTACATTCAAAAATAACAGACAGTATTAACTAGGTAGATATTTGGAAATATTCTGTATGCACCATTAATGTCAACTTGTAAACTGCCATTTAGGTGTACACTGCAGAAAAACAATCCAAGCATAGCATGGGAAAAGAAATGGACAAAAATAAGAAGAACATGATAATAATAATATAGTATTAAAAGGGCAGATAAACCTGGAGGTGTGTCATCTCAGGGGAACACCTGAAAAAAAACGCGTAACAAGGCTACGTGAATGTGATAACTACATATGGGCTGTTATACAGTTCTGACCAGCAATATATAACATGCTACAAAATTGAGCTGCAGATGGTAAGATAGCTGATAAAAATGTATTTAGTAATTCAAAATACAAACCAGTCAAGAGATTCCTGGCAGAGGGAGGTTTTTTACATTCTTGTCCAAGCCGTCCCTTTAAGATGAGAGCTTTGTTTTCCGCTTTTGGAGATGTAAGCTGTTTTCTGGTTGGAAATGCCTCAGTGTTCCTTCGAGATTTGCCCTGAGATGCAGAAATACATTTCTTCACTTTTTTGGGTGTTTGTTTCTTTTCCAGCAGTGAATCCAGATCCTGCATCAAATATTTAGAATGTTAAGTACTTTCAGTAAACCTGCTGTAATAATGAGAAACAAATTTAAGAGATTCTAAGTAGTTGGAACTTTTTTGGTGTGGTTTTGGTTTTTGTGGTAGTAATTATTCCTGATGGATTGTTGATGCAGAAGCTTCTTCATATTATTAACTTAAATCTTACAGAAAATGCTTGCATTTTTGTATTTACAATTGACTCCAGCAAATTATCTGGTTACATCATGTCCAAAAAGAACTGGACACAAAGGCTACAGACAAAAAACCGAAATGCCCACACAACTATGGTAAGACAGACAGTCACTTCTTCTAGTGCTAAGTCCAAAATTAAACAATTCTGCCTCCTTTCCTGTTCCCAGGCAGCTAGCACTGTCACCGTTCTCATAAGCAGTTCAGAACAGTAAAAATAAAAACACAGCGCTTAGTTGCTTTTATTTGAATTAATTAAATACTGGTTTCATAATAGTTCAGGTTACATAGGTTCTTACTTAAGAAAAATAATCTTGGTAGGTAGGAACTGCAGAAGGAAATGTGAATCAGAACTTTTCTATTATACCAACACCATGTTTTAAGGCATCAGAGATGACTAACACAAGCCATTTGAAGGGGATAGAGCTTAAGTAACTCTTGTAGCTACAACTTCATCTTCTGTTGGGACAATCCTGCACCCATCACTGTGTGTAAGGCTCGGACACTCATCATGAATCCTGATTAATAAAGCACGCATTGCAAAACAATAAACATGTAACCTGCACCAAGGTATAAAATGCAATTCTTACAGTCCCAGAAATGGCAAACAAATCAGAAACTGGTCTCTGTTTCCATTGTCACTACCTGTCCTCGTTCTACCCGAAGAGCCAACACAGACTGGAACAGCACCAACAAGAACAGCAGCAGGTATCTTCTGTGTTTAGGATGCAACTTTATTTTAGACCACCATTATTTAGGAACATTAGAAACATATTTATATGTTAGAAAATATGGCCTTTAAAAAAACCAAAACAGTATAGTCTGTAGTCTTATATTCACTACATCTTTTCTTCCTTAGCAAAAACAAAACGTTTTTTCCTACCTCAACTTGAAGCAAAATATCTATGATAATGTCAGAAATGGAAGAATCCACTTCTAGTTTGGCAGAACAGAGAGACAGTTGTCGAATGAGGCTGCCCAGTTCCTTGTAGTGGGTCGGGATCTGTTGCTCCGTCTGATCCATAAACTGGTTGGCAAACACCTGCAAGGCTCGCACGGCTCCTCTGTGTGCTGCTGCCAACCTGGATACTGCTCGAGACTGCAAAAATGAAAAATAAATGCTTTAATAGCTACAGTTTCTATGAATACTGATACTATGTATTGCCAACTATATATGTTGCCGAGATTTCATGGAGAAACAGTCAGACTTGGGAAGAAAATCAGAAAGGAGGCTGATAAGTCTGAGTGAGATCAACAGCAAGCTAAACAAGGTAGTGAAGAGTAGAACACAGTGTTAGTCAGAAAAGGAACTAGAATGAAGAAGGAATTAGAAGCCACAAAAAAGCAGAGACCAACAGCCTTCCCCTCCAGTTTACTGCAGAGAGATAAAAGTGAGAAGAGGGAAGCAGCAAAGGCAGAATCAGACCAAGTGAGACAGAATTCTGTGACTACGGGATGAAAGGTGCGAGATACAAAGAAAATCTCCCTTCTGGAGAGGGCTCAGGTGTACCCTGGACAACCAAGCTCAACTAGCTAGAAAACTTTCTGTAAATAAGTTACTAACAACCTGAAAGATAATCACATCTTACCTTTTTAGTATGTTTGATTTTATTAGGAGTTAGTTTCTCTAAATCATCTTGAATTTCTTTTACCTGTTAATAAAGAAAGGAAGGGGAGAGGGGAAAGTCAGTCAGAATTAGCTCCATGTCTATAAATAAACAATTAATCTTCATTGTAACGTCTGAGTAAAAGTCCAAATTTTCCAACAGTAATGCATTTTTCTGTCCAATCATGAGAGAAATGAGTCACACCATTCAGATGCAAACTAGAATGGCATGGAAGTTCAGAGATAACCTGATCAAATTTCTCTTGTTTCAGTTCATTTCTGTCAAATTCATCACAGTATCTAGCTACTCTACACCCCAGCTTAAAATCCTGGTTCCTACCTGTTGCTGGAGTACGTACAGCATCCGAGCTGACCGTGCAGCTTGTTTCTCTCTCCTAGTGCAAACTTGTTGCTCTTTATCAGGATCTAAAATTTCTCTCTCTCTCCCTAAAAAGCATGAAATGTAAAGTTTTATATCTTAATATAACCTATGAAAACCCCAATTAAACCATGATAACAAACGTAATTTAGTAATTAGCCTCTTTCTTGCAGAACGAATACACAAGGTATCATGCATTTTGCAGGGCTCCCGAGCAGTTATTTTAACTCTACGCTAGTTATTTTAACTCTACACCATGTATCCATTTAGAATTTGACTAAACATTCTTATACAACACAGCTTATTAGTTGTAGCTTACAAAATCACGAGTGACCCCTTAGTTTTGCGACAGAGTTGTGGTAGTTTCCTTCGCAGTCACTGGCGCAGAGCTGGTTGGGTTTGGATTTATGACTAACAGAGCTGACAGCACCCACGTGTTTTGGCTACCACTAAGCACTGACTCTTTCTTTTTTCAACTATCCCCACCAGTGCGTAGGCTGGGAGGGGACACAGATGACCCAAGGGACAGCCCCGTGACTGCTCAGCAATAAAAATGGAGTTTTTCAGGGGAAAGGCAGCCATTGCCCCCAGATCCGCTGGGCGTTGGGTCAATCTGTGGGAGGCAGTGAGTGATTGCCTTTAATCACTTGATTTGGTTTTTTTCTTTCTTCTTCCTCTTTTATTCCCTTACTAAACTATCTTTATTTCAAACCAAAAGTTTTCTTGCTTTTAATCTTTCTATTCTCTCCCCTGTCCTGCCAGGGGGAAATGAGCATAAATGTGTGGCACTTTGCTGCTGACCAGGGTTAGCCCACTGCGCAGTGTCAGAAAGTACATTTATTGTGTTACTGCACAGCCATAAATTCGGTGAGTCAGACTTGTGAAATGAAATTTTACCAGCTGTTGCCCCCTTTCTCATCACTGGCAAGAATGTGACCAATCACGATATTGTTTTTTGCACTCTGAATATCTAGCCAATATGCCTACAGACACCAAGATTTTTTCACCCATGTTATTAAACAGCCTACCAGGAATTAATCATCATTGCAAGTTGGACTAGAACTCACCAAAAACACTCAGAGATATTAAACCCTGCTATTGTTTAAGCTGGCTATCCATTCTAGCTTTTATATACTTTTGAAAACATTAAATGGTTCTCAAAATTCCAGAACTAAATATGAATTCTAATCCAAGCAAAAAAAAAAATAAATCAGAAAGAAAAACAAATCAACAACCACCACACATTTATATAACAATTATTGTTCAGTCTTACACCTTTTTTAGTCAGTTCTTCAATCTTCTGGACATAGCTCCTCAATTCCTTTTGCAGACGTTGGACTTCCCGCACATTTTTATCTTCTTTTTTGTTTGCATTTGGCTTAGGGTCTGGTCCTGTGTCACAGGTGGGTGGAGAGCCCGAACCAGCTGGTATGAGCTTTCCCTCAGTTGCTGTGTAAAGATAAACTTTAGCACCAGAGGTGGTAGTCTCCACTTTGGAAGGCTGACTGAGCTTCTGCTGATATTTCAAGTGAGTTTGAGACTTCAGTGCATTTTTCTTTTCAAATACTTCAGTCTTTTGCTGTTGTGACTTCTGGGCCGACACGGGTTTATTGACAGCATCTCCAAACACTTGCTGTTTCACTTGCTCTTCAAAATGTCTTCGTTTTATGTCCCTTTTGGCTAGCTGAACAGCCAATTTTAGTCTCTCTTCAGATATAACTGAAAACATGCTAGAGCTCTTTATGCTGGGGTCCCTGCTTCCAGGTTGATTTCTCTGATCATTGGATGCCTTCAGTTTTTCTATTATAATTGGACGGGGGCTAGAGAATCTGAGAGTCAGGTTCTCTGGAACTGCAGGAACATTTCTATTAAACTGGAGCTGTTCCAAAGTGTTAAAAAAAAAAAAAGGAAAAAGCTGTCTTTATCTGAACCCATGCGTTTTAACAGTTTTACCCTTCCGATTCTCTCCCACCATCCCACTGGGGGAGAGTGGAGTTAATGAACGGCTGTGTGCTTAGCTGCCCACTGGGATTAAACCACAGCAGACAGGTGACTAATATTTACAGGTGTAGTTTCTGATCTATACCCTGATGAAAGGACACTGTCAAGATTATGTATGACAGCATCATGAAAGCAAGCGTGAAGATTTGTCACTCTCTAGTGGGCTACCTCAGGCAGTGGGTCATAATCATCTCTTTGTAAGATCACGAAACAAATTCAGCACCTTTGCAGAAATCAAATAATACCTGTGTTTGTAACGGCTTTGCTTCATTCCTGTATAGCTGGGTAGTGAATGCCAACGTAGCATCAGACACAGCTGGCTTGCTTGGTCCCATCACATCGGCTTGATGCTGAAAATGAGTTATTTGTCCTTTGGTTACAATTACAGCTATGAACACAAGAAGAAACATACATTATTTCTGCCTCTCAAAAGCAATCCTGGGTCTGATGTAAACAGCAGACAGAGAACCACCCCGAGGAGGATTAGAAATGAAAAACGTATCACATGTACTCATACAGGTGGTACACAAAACGAAGAGTACAATCCTGCCGCTTAAGGCAAAATTTACGATTTATATCCTTCTTTTACGGATACCCGGAGAGCTGAGCAGCACCATTACGGACCACGGGGCTCACATTATGAGTCTCAGAACCTTTATTGCTATTAATTACCTGAACGGGAGACGGTGCACTGCAGCGGGGAGAGAAGGAGGCAGGGGCAGGACGGCCACGGGCCACTTCTCTGTCAGTGCCGCAGGAGCACAGACCGAGGGCACGCTGAAACCCCAGTCCCTAACGGAGAGGCATTTCAAACAAGGGCCATGCGTGGAGACAGCCGAAGACCTACGTCTCCTTCATCTGCCTGACAACTAAAAAACGCGCAGGATCCAACGCATAACGCCGTTGACGCTTCCTATCGCGACTGAACCACAGACTCTGCCTGGGTCAGCCCGGCGCCGCGGTCCCGCCCTGACGCCGCGGCGCGGCCCTCACGGGGGGCTCCCTCCCCTGGGCCGCCGCCTCCCGCCAGCCGCCCGCGACCCCAGCGGCCGGTAGGCCCTGGCGGCGACAGCCCGCA